TCTACTGTAATAACTAAGAACACTGGTTGAAAATAGCCATTTGTATTATTGCTATAGATACTATTAGCTCTAAGCTCAGAGTGAGGTCAACAGCATCACAAAAATGCCACCATTTATATAAGAGAAGAGAGCTGGCAAAAGTTGGGTCTTCTGTTTCTGGATACCATGCGAGCGGGGTTTTCTGCAGCCCAAGGGCAAATGTCATCATAAGCTGCATACTATCAATTCAGCAGAAAGCTTTTTCAAGGAACAGTCAGTTTTGCTCTTTCTTAATGAAAGAGGGGAATTAGCTGATAATCTTTTCTACTGATGAAGAGCCACTATTCTATACAAAGTTTATAGGGGAGCAGGAAACAAAATAAACATCAAAGATAATTATAAAATGTAGACTTGATCACACTACTACCCAGATGAAAATTCTTGTGAGACAATACCTAAATATGCACACAAAAAAGATAGAATCATGTATATATATGAACTTACATGTATATGCAAAATAAAAAGGACTTAGATACAGATAAATGAGACAAACCACGGGCCAGCCTCTGCATGTCAATACCACACAAATATTGCTACTCATACACTATTGTTTTTCAGTTATCCCACTTCACATGGGAACACCACACCCAGCATCCACCACTCCTGATTCTTCCTTTAGGTAATGGAGGGACTCAGGGTGGATCGTAGGTAAGGAAGTGGTATTGTTAAGTAGTGTCATACAGAGAATGCATGTAAAGAGGGCTAGAGCAGCCCAGTGTGAGTGGTGCACATAGTTGGGGGCAACAGCCACTTAAAGACAAGAGACAGCAAGCTGAAAGCATGAAGACATGAAGGGTCACCACTGGGCAACTGTATGTCTTATAGCTTCCATAAAACAGAAAATACAGGAAGCTAAATTAGGTAGAAATATTGCAAGCAGTCAGACAGGACTAGGCCCTTGAAGAAGCCAGTTCAGAAGAACAGAATACATTACAACTGTGTGTGGGGGCACATGCATTTAAGGCCAGGCCTTCAGACAAACACTAATGAATATGCCTACATACTTCCCCAAAAATAAACAATAATGATGGTTTTTCTAACTAGTCACGTAGGTTGGGGATTAAGACCTCCTTGACCCATCCCTTCTAGGAAAGACCCTTG